ATTATCGCGGGGAACTGTCAGGGTTTACTCTGACGACATACGACGAAGCTCAGAAACTTGTGGAGACCTACCAAGCCCCTGACAATTTTTCGCAGCGAGTCACCGACGTCAATCTCTTTTCCTACCAGCCGGTCACCCAGGTGTCGATCACCTCCAAACCTAAAGCCTACCCTGTTGGTATATTGAACTTCTGTGAGGTGGAAGCATATGGTGGTTAGTCTGTCTGTCTGTCTGTCTGTGTGTCTGTCTGTCTGTCTGTCACCCATGCTTTTGTGGGATTTTTTTTCTTGATATTAATAATATTAATTTTTTATTTTACATGAACAATTCATGATTTAACTGATGAAAATACAACTGCTAGGCGTCTAATTTATTGCCCTTTGAAAATAAAGTTCGTTCTTCCATTTTACCTGCCTGCCTACCTGCCTGTCTGACTGACTGACTGCCTGTCTGTCCGTCTCTCTGTCTGTATGTCTGTTTATTCCTAATATATAATCTTTTGCAAAATAAAGTCAACTCCTTTTAAAGCACATAAAATCGACTCACTCCAACTGGTTTTAATTTTGGCACGTGATTTCCTGACAGTTGGTAAAGTCGTAGACAATGCTCAGTTTACATTTGGCTTGAACGACACATTAGTACTCTTCGATCACATAGAATAAAGTTTAAAAAAAAAATTCTCTTCATAGCGCGACACAGGATAAGAAAAGATTCACATCATGGGCTATCTTCGGCAGTTCACGAATTGTACATGTTTACGCCAACATTTCCCGTCTCCCAATTAACGGTCCATCGACTAAAGCCATGAGGTTTAAGGTTTTAAACAACAGATCAACATCATGGCTCAGTTGCAGTAGCCCATTAGTGCTTATTTCTTCTTCTAACTCAAGTCTGAGTCCGAAGAAGCTTACACAGTGCAAAAACTCTGTAGCACTAGCGAGATTCCTGAAATACTTTGGGTAGATTTTTACCTCAAAATTTTTCCTTGGCAGCGCCGTTTGCCTATTCTTTTCAATTTCCAACTGCCAAGAGATTTTTTTTTACGTGCATACCATTGCACACGTGCGTCCGATCTCATTACCCAAAGACCAGGGGTAGTTACTAGAAGTCCAAGTCCACGTGAAACATTCTCAGCCCTTAACGGGGATTGAATCCGGAGCCTCTAGCACTCGAGGCGGACACCATGCCTCGAGACCAATCAGACTGAAACCATTTTCCTAGTAACTAGCCTGACTAGAGCAATTCCAAGACCAGGAACTACAAGACTTCTTCTTCTTCGCTTCCTTTTTTACCGCTGTGGGTGTCGAGGGATATATAAGGTTCTGTTGTTAGCTCTTCTGACCGCCTCGACCATAGGCATATCGTGCTGTTGTAGAGTTTCTCTAACCCTGCGAAGTCGAGAGTCAATTATTCGACAGTTCATTTGCGGAAAAGTTTCCATTCTGCTTAAAGGAGAACAGTGTCGTGAGGTAAGCAGCCACCCTACACAATGGACAAGTCGCGACTTTGATTTCCCTCGCGGACAGTCAAATTTCAAACTTGAACCCGTCCGGAAAGGTATATAGTCCCTTATATTGATCTATACCTTTATCTGGTGAAATATTAATTTCTAGACCCTCTAGTTGCTTTGATAAATCTTTATTTTCAAACTTGCAACTGTAGGTTGGCGAATTCTGGTATTTCAATTAGAAATTCCTGTAAACCGGTTTACTCCTTAGGCAGGAATACATGGGACTTCTTTCCTAGAGACGCTGGTTTGATTTAAAAAAAAAAACATTCTTTCGCCTGATCCCAAAGTGTCTAGACGTGTACAGTCTATGTAGAAATTGGCGCATTCAAAGTTACATTTCTATCTTGGAAAATTTCCTAAGCTTGGGTAAGTTGATTATAGTTTACGAGTACCATAATTGATGTCTTTTTAAAGTTGGCCACTGCTGCAGAGAGGGCAGAGTCAGCTGTGTGATCGCACAGAGTTCGACCGTTCTTGATGTCCAGAGATCAGGATCCGAACCTTAGACCTTCCCCTGTACAGACTAATTAGTTGGTGCTCTATCTACATAACCCACACCATTTGTAAAGATATTAAACACTACAAGTAATTATTCTCTGACCAGTCAAACCGAATTTTGTGTCGCATAACTGAAACAGGGAATTTAGGTCATCTTTAACCGGCAGTCAGGGCTAGGCGCTCTGAGTCAAAGGTGGGTTTGACAATTTTCAGTGGGTGTGTAGTGAACGGCCTGTGGAGAGGGAATATATATAGGTACTAACTGTAAACATTGTATGTCTGCGAGTGCCGATGTGAGGGTGGAGAGAGGATGATCTATGTGTGGTAGTGTCTATCTATCTCCACTATATACTTTGGTTTCTATCTGTTGCACTATTTTACAGACAGATAAATGAAAGGAGACATTGTCTCCTGTTCTTGAGAGTTACACTCTGAGGATGGAGAAAGGTGGCAGAGGTGAGATGAGCTAGTGTGTGTGAATAAGGCTGATTACAAATTCTAAGTTCTTTCCTGACAGGATGATACCTCCTTAGAGATCAGGCAGACGAATCACAGTCCAGCCAACCACCACCAACCCATACCGTTCTGTGCACCAAGAGTATCCCAAAAGTCCTGTATGTTGTGCCACTACCTCAACATGGCAAGAGCTTGTTTGTGAGTTCCAGGACCAGTGGACAATTGCAGACACCTATGTCAATAATCCAGAGAACCAGTCTTCAAGAGCTTTGTTGGGCTCTTCTGCATTTATTGTGTCATCACCTGTGAGACCGGCAGTGGGCATCACAGTCTCCAAGAGCTTTGGTGGGCTCCTGTGCAGTTCCTGTGTCCTAGCTCGTGACAGTGAGCTGGTACCAGATCAAATCAAGTCCCAACTACTGATTGAGTCAACTACAGTCGAATCAACATGGACTGAGGGGAGCATTGACCTACGAACTGGTCTAAGTGATCTTTTATTCACCCTTCATGCTCTATTCCACAGCACCTGATCAGACCGATGATGAACTCATGTATACCTCAAGGAAATCTGGCTGCTTCAATATCTGGGTTGTGTCTTTGATTCCTGAGCTCCATTCAATGAACTCTTGTTGATCTATTCACTATTATATGTATATATTGTACCGATTACATGCACAAATTTTCATGGCTGACTTGTGTGTCCCTATTTCACCATTCTAACTGTCTAGCTCTAGTGATTGTGTGAGCAATAAGTGTTATATGTGTTAACATGGTTATGATAGTAGACTATCATAACCTGGGGACTACCTTTTCATAGTAGTGGGGGTGTCCAGCCAAGTGTGCCTAGAAATATTATATATTTTGTAGTGCCAAAACTTGAGTTGCCCTGCTCCTGAAATAAGTTGAGCGTATATTGGCCACGGGGCATCCCTTAGACCAATAGGAGCCAGCGACTCAACATAATTTTTTTGAAGTGCTGTTGGTTCTTAAGGAGATCCTTAAATCAGGCACGCGACAGGAGCGATATGTGACAAACAGACAAACCAATGCACCACCAAATACCGGACACTTTTCCCTGAATACTCCCTCCCCTCCGCCGCCGTTTGAGGGAAGCAAACCTTCGTCTTCCCTTGCCAGTCAGACGCCCGACTTCAGCCATGTCAAATCCAGGAAAGACAGTGCGCACGCAGATGTGAAGGGCAGATGGCGTCGAAGGCGATGGCAGTGTGACGTGTTCTTAGACGAGTCGAGATGCATAATAGAAGTCCAACACGGCAGAATCCGGGCCTGCTCATTACTGTATCCATGAGCTTTTAAACTCTGGTTAGAGTAGCATTATTGCATGCGGAGGAATAGCGAAGAATTTTAGAACACATTATCATCATTAGGTCCTTTGCCGCCTGGCGGGGGCGATCATGCCTCTCCACAATCTACGATCTCTTGCAGCATGTATCAGTTCGTGTGCCGACACACCTCATTGCCATGCATCAAGACTGCCTAGAATCTTTTTTTCGTTGTCTTCCTCTATCCCTCTTTTCACAGATCTTTCCAGTGATCACAACATGTTTTATTTTCCCCCATCTCATAACATGGGCGAACAAGGATTACTGTCGCTTTCTAATGTCTGTGATAAGTTGCCTTTTAGAACGCAGCTAATACCATTTCGCAGGAACGCCACTGCGCACTGATACATACACAATGTCCTGACACTATATGTTGTGCCATTTTCCAAAACTTAGAGACTAGTCTTTACTTTTATGCACAACAATGCAATCGCTTACTGAGCACGAATACAACTACATTTTTCTTGCAAAGCCACAATATTGTTCTTCGCCAAATACCAACAGTTTCCAGTGATAGTAACGGAGTCGCGCGGGTAGGGGATGTTCTTGACAGCCATGTCAAATGCACCTTAGAATCCGTTACAGCTTGAAATTTACCTCATATGATTTGGACCTTTCCGTCTTTCCAGAAAAAAAAGGGTTATATTGCTCTTTAAGGATGAATGAATCTTACAACCCATGGCGATGGCGAGTGTGACTAGCAAAACCCGCCCGCGTTTAAAAAAAAGGAAGTCTTCCACAATTATAGCCTAGGATATTAGGATTATTGCTCGCAACATTTTGTGTTTAGTGCTTTTTTTTTCATAGACGCTCAGCTCACATCTTTTCTGCAATCTGTTCTTTCTTCATTCTCATTCCCTTCTTGATCTGCCCTCCACACAACACTGTCCACGACATTTTGTTCCCACGAATCCATAACAGTACATGTACCATTTATGTTCCGCTTCCACACATCTTTATATCGTACACACATAAATACATACATACATACATACATACAGACATACATACATACATACATACATACATACATACATACATACATACATACATACATACATACATACATACATACATACATACATACATACATACATACATACATACATACATACATACATACATACATACATACATACATACATACATACAGACAGACAGACAGACAGACAGACAGACAGACAGACAGACAG